TCTTCCTGGTTTGGAGACAGCTACCTACTCACAATGTCCTCATGTGGCAGAGAGAGCTCTGGTGTCTCTTTCACTTCTTTTAAGGCCACCAATCCCATTGGATTAGGGCCCCCACTCTTAGAACATCATTTCCTCTTAATTACCTCCTACAAACTCTGTCTCCAACTACAGCCACATTGGGGGTTCAGGCTTCAAGTTAAAAATGTAGAGGGGACGCAATTCAGTCCATAGCACTGGTACTGTTTGATGAGAGGGGAGGACTTGGGAAGTCCACTGGGGAAAGAGAGATCTATCCTTGCCACCGGTGAGGACACACAGATTTTCAGATAACACATGGTTGACCAAAGCCACAGATGCCTAGTATAATGAAGGTTTAGAAATAAGAGTAGGGGTGCCTGGGTGGCTTAGTCAGTTAAGCATCCAACTCTTGATCTTGGCTCAGGTCATGATCACATGGGTTCCTGAGTTCAAGCCCCACATTGGACTATGAGCTCTCAGTGTGGAGCCTGCTTGGGATTCTCTCGTTCCCTCTTTCTCTGTCCTTCCCCGACTCACACACATGATCTCTCTCTTTCTCTCAGAATAAATAAATAAACTTAAAAAAAATAGAAACAAGAGTAACAGCAGCATGGATTCATTGCACACCTATGTGTGTAATAAAATCAACCAGGAACTATACTCAGTGCTTTTTAAGCCTTGTCTCACCCAATCTTCTTATAATTCTCATTTTACAGAAGACAGAACGGAAGCACAGAAAGTCACCTGCGCAAGGTCACATGGCTGGCATACAGTAATTAGGACCTGTCTGATATAAAAATCTATGCTTTGTTTTTACTCTACCACAGTGGAAAAGCTATAACTTGGAGGGGACATGGAGGTCTGTGTTGGAACCCTGGTCTTGCCATCCACTTGCTGAGAGGCCTCAGGTCAGTGACAGCCTCTCTGAACATTAGTATCTTCATCTATAAAATGGGGGTGATGACATCAAACTCACAAGGTTTTAATGAGGATCCAATAAGACAGCACATGGTCAGTGGTCACCATAGAAGGGAGCTGCTATTGTTATTATTATTATTATTATTATTGACTGCTATTTTTGTTGTATACCCACATTTCTCCTATATGCCTTCCTGAAAGTTCCCAGAACTGTTACTTTTCTGACATCACCGACGTCTCTCAACCCCCTTGTTCACACTTATCCTCCCTATAACAGACCAACAGTCTGGGGACACTTTGGATAGGGATGCGGACAGGATGGGTAGGGCAGGACATCTGTGACTCATGATTCCCTTCTATCACACCTGGCCTCCTGGAGATGCCAAACCGGATAAGATGACCTTGCAGATACAACTTCTCAGAGGCCTCGTTTCACATGTTGGTCCAACAATCAGGCCTCGTTTCCCCATTTGAGAGCTCATAAAATGTTCTTAGTATGTATAAATAACCTCAGTTTCTACCCCTGCTGTTGCAAAGAAGCTCCATGGATGTCCTGCCCTATCCTTCCACCTTCCAATCCATACTGACCATTATTCTAAGAAAGAGTGGGTGTTTCTCAGCCACGAGGCAGCGTTAAGAGCCCTAGGTGGTTAACATTCCAGGTCAGCTTGACCCAGCTTTATGTCATTGAGCTGAACATGGCTCACCTCTAGATCACAGCCTCCTCACAGAGGCTGCATGGACAGAACTCTGACAGCCACTGCAGCCCTAGGCTCTGAGCATCTGTTGGGGAGAAGCTTAGGTAGGTACCATCTTGATTTTTGAGTGAGTTGAGGAAAGTGTAGAGCCCAGCTGTGTAGTCTGTCTACCTCCTGCCCCCCGTCCACCATCCTAAAATCATGGCCGCTTCTCTGTCAAAACGAAAGCCTAGTAAGGTGAAAGGAGATGTATAATTCCTTGTAATTCCCCTTGCAGCATGAATTTTCTGTGCAATTACCTGCAGGGAACACAGGAGATTAGAAATGCAAGAAGTTTTCTGGGTGTTGTGTCAAAGGCCTGACATGTGAGCAGTGAGATTTAGAAGGCTACATCCCTTGGGACAAAAGAAGGTTTATTTACCCAGAGCTTGTTAGGTGCCTAACACCCTGCCCCCAAGTTGCTGGGAAGTAAGATTTTCAATGTGCAGGCATTGTCCCTGCCTTAGTCAGTCTGGGCTGTAATGACAAGATACCATAGAGTAGGTGGCCTAACCAGCAAGCATGTTTCTCACAGTTCTGGAAGGCTGTGAGTCTGAGATCAGGATGCCAGCATGGGTGGGTTCTGGTAAAGACCCTCTTCCTGGTTTACTGATGGCCGCCTTCTTGCTGTGTCCTCAGAGTGTGGAGAGAGAGCTCTAGTCTCTTCCTCTTCGTTTATTTAAAAACAAATTTTTAATGTTTATTTATTTTTGAGAGAGAGACAAAGACAGAGTGTGAGCAGGGGAGGGCAGAGAGAGAAAGAGGGAGACTCAGAATCTGAAGCAGGCTCCAGGCTCTGAGCTGGCAGCACAGAGCTTGACACAGGGCTTAAACTCACAGACTATGAGATCATGACCTGAGTTGAGGTCGGACACTTAACCGACTGAGCCACCCAGGCGCCCCTCTTCCTCTTCTTGTAAGGACACTAACTAACCCTACCATGGGACCCCACACTTGATCACATCGGAACCTAATTCTCTCCGTGAGACCCACCACCTAATGCCATCACACTGGGGATTAGGGTTTCAGTGTATGGGTTTTGGAAGAGCCATTCAGTCCATAATAGTGTCCTTAGGGTTCTTACAATTTACCCCAAAAGATTGAAAAATGTCTTGGTTCCCAGGGCCCAGTTTTTTTCAACTTTCTGGTGGCTTATCCACTCAGAGTGAAGAGTCCCTGTGGCTTTGGGGACCTACACTCCAGGAAAAATTGGGGAGGCATGATCAGAGGGTCACAGAGCCCCAGGTGCACCCATGGGGAGGTAGCTGTCACCTGGTATTTGTCGGATAGATGGGGGTGGGATCTGGGAAGGTAGAGAGGTATGGGACATGACTCTTCACACAGGATCACACAGTTAACTTGTCAGAGCAGGGCCCAGAAAGGGTCCCCATCCCAGAGCTCAGGCAATCCCTTGGACGCTACCTGCCCCACCACCTGCTGGCTCTGGAGGCCAGGCCTGGAAACTGGCATTGAGAGCTGGTTGTCTCAACCATAAAACTGTAAAAGTCAGTGCATTTTTGCTGGGGTTCCAACAGTTCTGCTTTGTAAACTTCAGAATGCTTTAGATGTGTGACCCGTATATTTAGAAAAGACAAACCAAATTCTCATTATTGATATGCATCATTGATATTTTAAATTACACATATTAACAATAATAACAGGATTAGGCTCATGGAATCCCAGAGCAAGCAAGGTTCTTCCGTGCAGCCTTCCTTATCTGCTGCTGGCATCCCCTGGTCCCTATCTGTGCCAAGTGGTATTAATTGCATTACAAATGACAAGCGCATTTAATTTCAGAATTCTCCTAGTGAAGGGAGCTACTCAAGAAGGAATTCTCATGCCTGTACACCACCCAGCCCAGCGTTCACTGGCTCAAGCCCCAGGCCCAGAGGATCCATGGTGGGAAGTGACTGTCCATCACTCTGACCTTCTTGGAGAACACAGAGCTCTAGAGACCCAAGACAGACCAGAGTTGCCATACCCTGAACTGGGGTCCCTGTTGAAGTTTCCAGGATGTTCACTATCCTCCTGTCAAGCTGGTCTTGTTCTTCATGGCTCTGAGAAGAAAAGGAAGTGGGGAGGTACAGGGGACAGCTGGCATCCTCTGTGGCCCCAGAGAATACTTTGTTCTAGATTGCACCAACAGAGGATCTCAGAAAGTTTTAGAAATTTCCAGATCTCTCTGCTACAGACCCCAGGCTGGCTGTAAAAAGTCAGCAACTAGCACTTACAACCATCATGGACAGTTTCAGTATCCCTTACCTAACTCTGTTTTCCCACGACTGGTGTAAGAGCCCTGCAAATCCATCCATGGCCCCAGATCTCCCCCAGCACCAGTGTTCTGATACCTGGGTTTATTCCTTTCAGGGATAAAAATACCCACTTATTAGAACTACAATAACTTATAGGGAGGTTTTCCCACTAGGCCACAGATACCAAGTCACTGGTGACAGAACAAGGCTCTGCTCAGAAAGGCAGACGGCCATCAGTCCCTCACACAGAGAGCAGAGGCCAGGGAGCCAGCACATGAATGACAGCACCCTCCTTCCGCATCTGCCCCGATATCTTGTGTCTGTCCCTCCAGTGCAGGCCCACCAAAAGTTCCTGGCTGAAAGGTGATCTTAACCTGCTCTTTTGAGCTCACACCACCAAGTCACAGTGATAACACACAAAACACCATTAAATCTTTTAAAGGAGCCCAGTTGACTGGGCAAACTCCTTGGGCAAAAACAAAACATCCAGGGTCTTCTAAAGGCTGCAGGCGAAGCTGAAGGACTCTTGCCACTTTGAAGTGTTGGCTTCGATGCTGGTGGCAAATAGAAAACTCTTTAGATTACAGCTGAGATTTGGGACAAGGAGATTCAGGGCAGCAATAGAAGCAAAGTCATCTGGTTAGGTAGGGGTCTGTGCCAGGCATAAGAAAGTCAGGCAGAGGGCGCCACTCTAACTTCTATTCCCAAAGCAATTACAGATGGAGTTTAAAAATATGTCTTGAGAGGCACCTGGGGGGCTCAATCGGTTCTGCATCCGATTTCAGCTCAGGTAATGATCTCACAGTTCACGGGTTTAAGCTGTGTCGTTCTCAGTGTGTACTGACAGCTCAGAGCCTAGAGCCTGCTTCGGATTCTGTGTCTCCCTCTCTCTCTCTGCCTCTCTCTCTCTCAGAAATAAAATAATACATTTTAGAAATGTGTCTTGAATTTGTAGGTGGTCTTCTCTCCCTCCTAGCACACAACCATTTCTTTGGGGCTGTCCTTGTTTCTACAACAGAACCAGAAGGCAAAAAGTGGACATGGAACCATAAGTATGTCAGAGAGCATTCTAAAATCTCCAGAGAACTTAGACAACATCCTCTTCCTCAAAAAAGCACAAACAGACACGCCGTGTCATTTTTGGGAAGGAAACTGAGGCTGAAGGTTGAGGTAACTTTTCCACATCTGCATGGTGCTTTAGTGGCTGAGCTATGACCATTTTCCATGAGAGGTTCAGTGCAGTACCCACTCTCCTGGTGCCCTCTCTCATTTAACATCAATAAATCACAGATTCAAAGGAGAAACTAGAAGTGAGACTGGAAAACCCCAAGCAATAAAAACAATTACCAAGAGTAGGGCAGAAAAACCAAGAAGTAGGCCATGCAAAGGCTTATGAGACCAACCAGCTTGGTCAGCTGGGCTAGGGGTTTATCTCTGGAGCCTGTGGTGGAGCCCACTGTTCACTAGCAGAGAAGTCAGGAGTGGGAAGGAAAGAAGGGCTCAACCAGAAACAAGTAGGAGACCCCTGGGATGGCCGGGACCCATGTGCAACCCCTTCTGAAGGCAGGCCCCACCCTGCCTCCTCACGCATAAAGAAGGATGTGTGCTGCATGAGCCACATACTTGGGGATCCAGAGTGACCTGGCCACCTGTCAAGGGTATAATGCACCATGAACCTAGCAGTGTGTGGGGAGACGGTTTAGACAGCCAGTTCACCATAAGGGGGACCAGGATAATACACTGCCCACTGTCTAATGGATTATGGGGCATACACTGCTGTGTAGTGGGGAATGTGAAGACCAGCCTACAATACACACTGAAGGCTTCAAAGGCAATGCCAAGACTAGGCCAATGGTTTCTGTAGCTTACACCAGTGGTCCAGGCTCCTCATCAAAGGGCTAAGGATTCACGTGACCTGGTAATGTGTGGCAAAATCTAGGTCATATACGTTAAGAAGAATCAAGTCAGTGTAAAGGTTTTAGTGTTGACACAGTGAAATGGGTCCATCAGATCAGCCAATGCACACAAAGGAAGAACAAAAACTCTAGGGTAGGCCCCAGAGTCCCAGAACCTCTGTGAAACGTCTGAGGTACTGGCATGGCCCCAGGGGCCAGGGCCCGGGCATCCAGGATACTCTTAAGATTTTCCAAGGCAATGTGGTGACTACTTTGTAAGGGCTTTTGTGACTGGAACCCACAATCCAAGCCCCTTTCTGAGGGCTGAGTCACCAGTGTGACCCCAGAGATGAGGAAGACACAGGGAAAATGTGGGGTTGGCAGATAACTGACTCATTGGGTTGACAGATAAAACACAGAATGCCGCATTCGAATTCCAGATAAACAACAAATAAGGACTTGGAACGTGCTTATAATAAGATACTATTTGTTCTGTATTTGAAATTCAAGTGTAACTGGGAATCTTGCATTTTTATTTCCTAATCTGGCAAGCTGAGGTCCAGCAGTCAACACACTCTAAGAACCAGAGCAATATAGAGATGTCTTTCATCACTGTGGGGCTGGCACCAAAGGGCCAGATCCCTGGCCAGGGTGGACTTCCTAATGTGGCCACAGTGATGTGCAAGAAGTTTCACAATGATAAGAGTGACGCAGGCCTGCCTGTGTGAGGTACATATAATTTTACATTGTCTAGTAACTGCATCTTTAAAAAGTAAAAGGAATCAGGTGAAATTAATCGTAACATATTTTATTTAGCCCAATATATCCCAAATACTGTCCTTTCAACATGTGATCAAGATAACAATATCAGTGAGATATTTTACATCTCTTTTAGGACTAAGACTTTGAAATCTGGTGTGTAAATTAACAGCCCTTTTCAACTTGAACCCTTCAAGGGTGCTCAATAGCCATTTATACTGCAGTGAAGCTCTAATGGCTTGTCGCGGGGGGGCTGGCTGCAGCCATCCGGGTCCCTTGCCAAGAGTCCAAGGCATTGGTGTGGTTCCAGTGATGTCAGGGAGGTGGGGTGAGTGGGGGGTTGGGCAACCAAGCACCTCTAAGAAGAACCAAGGCAATGTGGGGACCACTTTCTTAGGACTACTGGGCTTTTACTGGAGGCTAGTCCACTGCTAAGGTGGAGGCTTTGGGGTAACCCTGGGGATATAGTGGATAAAGTAGTCAGTCTACTCTAAAAAGAGCCAAAGCAAGACTGTGATTTGCGTCTTAGTGGTTTGGAGGTTGGCATGATGGGCCCAGGCCACCTGCCAAGGTCTGAAACAGGGGAGTGGGGAAAGGGGGCTGGGCAGCCTAGTGGTACCATGTGACAAAAGCCGGGTGATGCCATAACTCTTCTCTGGCAACTTTTCTGATGCCTCTTCTCTGATGACTCCATAAATAAGATCCCAGGGTCCTGGAGCTGAGGCCCTGCTGTGTCACAGTGATGCAGGGAGCAGTGTGAGAAAAAACCAGGCCACCGTGGTGAGCTCTGGAGTAGGCACCAGAGGTATGAGCTCCCCAGCCAAGGGTCTCAGGCACCGATAGTGTCCATGTGATGTGAGGAAAGGGAGCAGATGACAGTCAGTCCCCTTGAGTAAGTAAATCCAAGGTGATGTGAGCTGGCAGGTCTCCCTTTCCCTCTTTGTCCAGTGACGCCCAGAACCCTGCCCACCAGAACCGTCAGCCACTCCTGCTTGGACCTGTGCTTCCCTTCTTGAGAATGTCTCCAGCTGACTCCAGCTGGTGGCAGCTGGGCACGAGGTGTGCCACTCCCAGATGGCCTGCCCCAGGCAGACAAGGCAGGGTGAGGTAGCAATTTCCCCTGCTTTGTAAGTTCCTGTATAATTTCCTCATTTTTGCTCCTGGAAGCCTAAAACATTTGCCAATCCCTGATCTAGGTACTGACTTGCAGGGGTTGTCCAAAGGTCAAGGTCCCTGCCAGGGATCTGAGGTCCCAGAGTGGCTCCTGTGATATGGGGGAAAGGGACCAGGCAGCCAACATGTTAAGGAAAGCCAAGGCAGCATGCACCTGCCCTGTAAATGCTTCCCAGAGCTGGAACTGGAAGCTGTGTTTCCTGCCAAGATTTGAGGCACCAGAGACGGGGGACGGGGCGTGGCCTCAGCCCCAGGTGACAGTGCAGTTCCTGATGATCTGCCACTGAAGGGCGACTGGGGATTTTTCACAGGAGCAGCCTCCCTCCCTTGTTTGTTGCCAAAACATTGAGTGGGGTAGGGCAGGCAGAACTATTTCAGCTCCTACTTGGGGCATCCTTAGGTCAAAGGTCTGTTGTAAATATGGATCTGTAACAGACTTATGCCAACCGTAGTTACACAGGCGTGGGACCTATACCATGTTAGTCTGCAAGGTCAGTGAGTGACAGATGACAAAGTGGCCCCTACTTTTGTGACATAGTTCCAAGATGGAAGGAAGCTGCGGATATATGTTTTGAACCCAAGTTGGCTGGAAGGAAGGGGCTCTTTTTCTTGGAGACAGAGGGAGGGTGGAGGGGAGTACAGAGTCCTTCAAGTTGGAGAACTGGGAAGTCAAGATTATTAATTGGGAAATTTAAAAAGGCATTAAGTTGCCAACCGTGAAGAGGTTGGAGGTGATTTGATATTAGCTCTGATGGCAGAGTTGGCTTTGCAACTCTGGATGGAGGGCAGGCTGACTAGGGGAGATTCTGGGCTTGAAGACAATTGAAGCAGGGATGGGCAAAGAAGAGTGAGGAATAGGTTAGTAAACCAGCTCTAAGTGCCCAAAGCAAATTTGTAGCTCAGTATAATGACTGCAGCCTCATGCAGAGGGTTTAAAGGAATCAGACACCAGCAGCAAGATGGGGGTCTTCAGGCTGAAAGGGGAATGCTCAGAAAATGTCAGGTATTGGGATTTCTAGCTAGGAAGGTGTCCAGAAGATTGATGGCTCTCTTTGACCAGGGGTCAAGTTTGGCAAATCCGGGGCCAAACCTCTAAAAAGGTGAGAGAATTACTATGCTGTCAAAAGTGAAGTGGCCCAGTGGAGATGGGTTATGGGTGCAAGAAGAATAAGGGCTTCCTGAAGCTGGAAGAGGATTCTGGGAAGGGCCAAGTTGTGATGAGGGTAGCTTAGAGCTCAAGAGTGGCTCAGTGTCAAACTGAGATTGTGTGGAAGGAGAGGGCAGTGGGTCAGAGGAGGAGCTTAGGGTTTGCCATCTCGGAGGTGTGGAAGGCATCTGTCAAGGTCAGAGTCATGGCTTCACCTGTGGCAGCAGGGAAGACAGCTGCAGAAGATACTGAACAGATCATCAACAGGATATTGAAGCGACTGTGCACATCCCTGACAGGATGGAGAGGCCACAGGACAGGTTCTATAGACCTTTTGCAAACTGAGAGCATCTTTCAAGGGGCATACGTGGTTGGGGACAAATTGTGCGTGACAAGCTTGGCAACGAGGGCTCTGGAGTGGGGTTTGGACTCACAGGATCAGATGGAGTAATTTTCTGTTCTCCCTGTGGTGAAGACAGAGGTGGGAATAGAAAGACCGGGGAGCTTTCAGTTATCTGAGGCAATGAAAGGTGTGATCCAGAAAAGTCTCGGTGGGCAGGGGAGTGCACCATTCCAAAGTCAAAAGAGTTCATGGGAGTGCAGGAGTCCTTTGGTTTAGTGTTCACTATTCAAATTCACTCTCTTACCTTTGACCTTGATCAGAGAGGCAGCCTGGTTCCCGTGATGGAAAACAGAGTAGAAAGGTTATGGACGCATCTATTGTTGCTGAGTAAACATGACTGAGCCAGAAGTCCAAGAGGAGGAATGAATTATACCATTCGGATATAATTCTTGAATTATTGCAAATCTGGTCTGTCTACAAGTAAAATGTCCTGTGTTTCAAGTGGCTGCAGATAAATTTGCCTCTGTGTGCTTGAGCTTTTTTGGAACTCTAGAGGCACCATACCTCATGCTTCAAACAACTATGAAATTCTCACATCTGATGACCACATGTACCCCTTCCCTTTTTTTAACCATGAACTTTTTTGAGTACAGCATCTGCTGTCTGTATAAGACCTATTTAACATTGGAGTTCCCCCTGTTCTATTCTGGTTTGTTCTCTCTTCAATACAGAAACTTGCAGTCTCTAAGAATCTGTCAGTGGTTTTCACATAGGCTCAATCCAAGTTTATGTGTGATTTATTGTTCACGTTTATAGGGTTTGTTTTGGGGTGACCAGGTGGCTCAATTGGTTAAGCATCCAACTTCAGCTTAGGTCATGATCTCATGGTTCATGAGTTCAGTTAGGCTCTCTGCTGTCAGCACAGAGCCTGCTTTGGATCTTCTGTCTCCCTCTCTCTCTGCCTTTCCCCCACTCTCTGTCTCAAAAATAAATAAATAAATAAATAAATAAATAAATAAATAAACAAACATTAACACCCCCCAAAAAAGACAGAATTAAATATATATATATATGTATTTTTTTTTTAAAGATTTGTTTTGATTCAAGCTCCCAGAGCTGACATGAGTTCTTTCTGTGAGTAAAAACTTCCTACTCAAATAGCTCACTGGCTGTCTCACATGCATCTGTGTGAGGGCGTGCGGGTGCTGAATTTGCATCTTACAAGTCACTAGAAGAGGCTCCTAAGGTGTTCTTGCTTCAAAGCTTCCTATACTCTATCTGGTTTTCCTTTCTGGGTTAAATCACAGAATAGTCTGGCTATCGCTAAATGAGGAGTAAATCTCCCACAGCGTCATGTTTATTCAAGGACTGATCTACCCTGGTTATCGGTTAGTAAAGCACCTTTTCTTTGATCGTGGAAGTTTCTCCCCAATCTAGATTAATATGTCCACTTCCTTTGTGTCTCAAATATTTAACTGCAGCTATGTCAAGATAACAATTCATTGAGTTTTGGAATGGGCAGCCAAGTTATCAAAGATAGTCTATGTGCTTCAAAGCCATAATCTAAAAAGTGGCTGTGCCATTGAGGCAGGCAATGTGATCATGTAATGACTGGGCTAATGACTGATGGACAGCCTGCTAGGAGGAGATCTCAAGTCAGGCGGTATCTGAACAGTCTAAAGTATTATCTCAGGTGAGAGATCTGACACACAGGCTAAGAAGCCTGGCTGATGATGCACTTAAGCTCCAAGCAAACCCTGATGTATACATCTATTTCTTTTTTAAAAACATTTTTTAACGTTTGTTTTTGAGAGAGAGAGACAGAGACAAAGTGTGAGTGTGGGGGTGGGGAGGGACAGAGAGAGGGAGACACAGAATCCTAAACAGGTTCCAGGCTCTGAGCTGTCAGCACAGAGCCCGATGCAGGGCTCGAACTCATGAATTGCATGATCATGACCTGAGCCAAAGTCAGACGTTTAACCACCTGAGCCACCTGGGAGCTCCTTCATACATCTATTTCTTATAACTATACACACCAGTAAATGACCTACAGACACATCAAATACAGTAAAACCTTGGATTGTGAGTAACTTGTTCTGCGAGTGTTCTGCAAGACAAGCAAACATTTCTAATAAATTTTAACTTGGTAAACAAGCAACGTCTTGCAACACGAGTAGTGTGTGACACTGAATGTCACGTGATCACAACTGAGCCAATAGTTATTGGAATTTGCTTTGATATACGAGTGTTTTGGATTATAAGCATGTTTCCAGAACGAATTATGATCACAAACCAAGGTTTTACTGTATAATGGTTAAGTAAACAGTATAGAGAGAAATTGCATTAACATGTAGGTGCCTTTTAGTCAAGGTCTGGTAAGGAAAAGGCAGCACCAGCTTATTAGCAGAAAGAACTGAGCTTAAGGGATTGGCTGACAGATACCGGAGAGCAGGAAAGGCAAAGGGGGTGTGCCACAACGGCACCCTTTGGGCTGGAGAAGGTTATTGGGGTTACTAGAAGCTCAGATGGGGTGCCGGTCCCTCTGCAGCTCTGAGCAGGGACTGCTGCCCGTTGGCTGCTGGTACTTGATCACTTGGATGAGGACTTGGACATCTGAAGAAAGGGCACCGGCTGTCTGGGCTGGTGGCTCTGAGAGAGTGTGGTGAGGCTAGTTCTGACAGTACAGAAAGACCTGGAACCAACTACCACTGGCTGGGGTGAACACACAGTTACTGGGATCATAGTCCAAAGAACCAGACTCTAATTAGGAGTCAAGCTCTAGCTTTCCAGTCTCCCTCGAGTGCCCCCTAGTGGCAGAACCTAGGAAAGAGCCAGCCGCAAAGGAGAAAGGTGATTTGCAGGGTCCCAAACTCGCATCACACAGCCAAACAGGAAGTGTGGTCAAGAGGTGAGAGACAAGGGCTTAGCAACCCAAACAAGATGAACGCATCTGTGCACCATCTGCATGCGGAGGAGGGAAGTGAAGCGGGAAATCAGGTTACTTAAATTCACAATGATCCTAGGAGCTTTCTTAAATCGAGGGATCGAATTTGTTCTGCCCACCTACTATTCCCAAGTCAGATTTTTTTTTTAATTATTCCTCCAATCGTATACCAAAAAGTCTTACTACAAACTGATGCCAGAAATTTTCTGAGCCCTAAATAAACATAGTAAAATAACCATTCTGGGCACAGAGACAGAATTATCAGACTGAGTTCATTCGAACCTTCTACACAAAGCCTCACCCGGCTGTTGTGGATAGGTAGTTATACATTTGGAAATGACAACTAGCAAGAACCAGGTGCTGACAGGAGGCTAAATTGCCCTTTAGAATTATCTTTTCTGCCACCTCCCAGTACTTTACCACTTACCTAAAAGAAGGCAAAATAATAGGTTCCTTTGTTTCCAGTACCTATAATGTGCATTTCCAGGTTTGTTTGGGAGTACAGCTGTGAAATCTTTCAGCACTGACATAATTCCCTTCCTATCCGATTGTGAAGGGTTCTTTGAGCGCTGTAATTGTTCCCCACTGCAATTCTTACAGCAGTGTGCCAGCATGCCAATCACTTATTCTTCTTCCAGTTCTGATTGTTCCCCGCTGTGTTAACACCCAGAATGAGTACTTCCAGCTGTTGAAAGATGTCAGCATATTTATATGAACTGCTTCATGGCTCCTAGGGAAATTTCCTGAAGCAAAGACCACCAGGTTCCTGATTCTGTGGAGATATGACTGGGCTTGCATTTAATTTTCTCTGGGGTCAGTAATAGTATTAAGTATTTCAAATGGCACACATGAGCACATAGTGTCATTTGTGTCTTAACTGGGCTTTGGTCATATTCCTTGCTAACAGTAGAGTGTACGTATTCAAAATCTTTTCCGGAAATGAGAAACTTTGTCTTATGATTGGTTCCACTAAGAGCTCTGAAGAGATTATTCTATTGAAATGCTTCTGGCCAACACAAATTCACCAAACTTTTTTTTCTGATATTTCAAATTTCTCTTTGTATTGAGTTTACATGCCTGCTTCTCTACAGTTTCTAAAGTTTCCCATAATCTGAGTGTAACACTTTATTTTTCCCTTCACTGACTATGTCTCTTCAAAACCTTTGACTAGAGTTGTTAACACCCCTGTTCTGAATTGAATTCTGTCCCCCAAAAAGGTATGCTGGAGTATCAACCCCTGGTACCTGTGAATGTGACCTTATTCGAATATTGGTCTTTGTAGATTTAATTAAGATGTATCTTAAGATGAAGCATCCTGGAGTAGGGTGGGCCCTTAATTCAATATGACTGGTGTCCCTATAAGAAGGAAAGGAGACAGAGGGAAGAAAGCTGTGTGAAATCAGAAGCAGTGGTTCGCCATAAGCGAAGGAATGTTAGGAACTTCTGGGCACCAGAAAAGGCAAGGAAGGCCCCTCCTCCTGAAGAGGCTTAGTAGAAGACACAGCCCTGTCAATGCTCTGTCTTTAGAGTTTGGGCCTCCAGAACTGTGAGAGAGTACATTTCTGTTGTGTTAAACCACCCAGTTTGTGGTCCTTTCATACAGCAGCCCTAGGAAACCGATGCACCTTCCCAGTCTACTAAATAGAATTCGAGTAATAGGGTTTTTTTTGTTTCAACATCCCTGTGTCTATTTTCCTCTAAGCTAGTGCCTTCAGTGCAAGTGGCATCTGCCCTATCCTCGCTTTGGTTAGACACAGGGACAGAGGATTCTTAAATACATTCTTGGAAGAACACTCCCGGGCTGATAGCTGGTGGCCCCATCTTTGTATACAATGGCTAACAATCATGGGGCATCAAGGGAGCTGGTCAGCGTCAGATTTTTCTTCCCTGGAGGTGCACTGGGGAAGCATACATAACCACTTAGTGTCACCACTGTTACTAAAGAGAAAAACCCAGAAACCGATTTGGGGACACTCTCCCCACCCCCAGCATCTTCACCCAATCCAATGAACTTGTTTCCCATTGCCTTTAGATTTCTAATCTTGGATCACAGTTCTGCACAAGGCTGCTTCTCCCTAACCAACAGCGCCATTGTGTTGCCATAGCATACCTCTCTGTTACAAGTGCAAAAGGTTTCAGCTCTTCAGAGCACAACCCCCAGGCCTGATCCCTCTGATGTGTGTGGCCCTTAATTTCTCCTCACTGGGACTACCCTGACCATCCATCCCACTTTCTCACCAGATAATCCTTTACCCTTGTACCTGTATTAGCGGTGCTATGTTAGAATGTCAAAATGCTGAAAGTATCTGTAATTTCAAAGTTGAGTCATACTAAAGGTAGTCACTGCAATGTAATGTCCACTTCAGCACTCTTTTTTAGAGTAAGAGGAGATGTCAAAAATAGTTAAATTTCTGTAACTTTTTGAAGTATATATTTACCAATGTTGACTTCTATTAAATTGGTGGGCCTAAAATTGTTCTACTGAAACTTGTTAAAATGACGTCTTTTCTAAAAAAAAAAATCAAACCCATTTACATGAAAGCAGAATAAAAACTTTATATTGACAATTGAACGTTGAAAAAAAACAAAGAGAATAATTGTTTGTTATATATTCACAGCTGTTAACCAGTTTCTTAACTGTTATCTGTTGCTCTATTTTTCAGGAAAAAAATGTATTTATTTCAATATGATATTATTTCCAATATTTAGCCTGCAATCAAAGTCGTATATTATGATAACGAACTTGGAATGGATAGCTCAATTGACTCCTCTGCTGGTCATCATAGTTTTAATTGTGAAAATAAACTCTCTAGAGGTGCTGAAATATTGGGGAAGATTAGAGTGCATCTGCTAAATGCTGGAATTTTATTTTTTGAAATTAAAATGCATAATATCACCCACAAATATTTTCAAATATGTTTTGTTTTATCTCTAATGCTTACCTGTATTTTTTTTTTTCAAGGTTTTTTATTTATTTTTGGGACAGAGAGAGACAGAGCATGAACGGGCGAGGGGCAGAGAGAGAGGGAGACACAGAATCGGAAACAGGCTCCAGGCTCCGAGCCATCAGCCCAGAGCCCGACGCGGGGCTCGAACCCACGGACCGCGAGATCGTGACCTGGCTGAAGTCAGACGCTTAACCGACTGCGCCACCCAGGCGCCCCTAATGTTTACCTGTCTTCAACAAATATTTTTCTGAGACAAAATTGATTAAATAAATTATCTCTGAAGCTTTTGAATATTTCACTAAATTTAAATGCTTCAAAACTGTAGGCCTTCACATAGGTCTATGTTTCTAACATAGACAGTAAACGTGTCCATATAAAAACAGGAGTTGCAGGGCGCTAGGTGGCTCAGTTGGCTGAATGTCCAAATCTTGATTTCGGCTCATGGTTCATGAGATCAAGCCCCACCTCAGGCTCTGGGCTGACAGTGCAGAGCCTGTTTGGGATTCTCTCTCTCTCTCTTCTCTCTGCCCTTCCCCTGATCATTCTCTCTCTCTCTCTCTCTCTCTCTCTCTCGATAAATAAATAAATATTTTTTGAAGATAAAATAAAAACAGGAGTTGCATCCAGTGATTCTTCAAACAAGTCAACATATTTGCAAACACAATTATAGAACTTTCAAATTAAATCTTGACAGAAATAAAAGACATGTACATTGGAATAGAAATGATAAGACCATCCTTATCTGCAAGTGACATGAGTCCACATAGAGAATCCAAAGACATTTTTTATACCTTGGATAAGTGGGTTCAGTAAGGTTGCAGAGTATAAGGGGGAACACACAAAAATCAATAGCATTTTTTTATTTATAAACAATAAGCATGTGAAAACCAAACTTGAAAATACAGTACCATTTATAATTGCTCCAAAGAAAACGAGATACCTCAGTATAAATCCAACAAAACAGGTAAAGGATCTGTATGCTGAAAATTACAAAATGCTGACGATGGAAATCACAGAAGACCCAAGTAAATGGAGAGAGATCCCATATTTGTGCACTGGAAGACTCACCATGGTAAAGATGTCAATTCTCTCTGAAGTGATCTATCTATAGGTTTAATACAATTCTTATCAAATTCTCAGCAAGATGTTTTGTAGATACACACAAGTTTATCCTAAAATTTATATGTAAAAAAAAGGACCTAGGATAGCTAAAACAATTTTGAAAAAAAAAATGAAACAAACAAACAAAATAATAAAGTGGGAAGAATCACTCTACCTGTGAAGTCTGGCTGCACAGATACAGTAATCAAGATTGTGTAGTATTAGTGGATAGCAAGACACAGACCAGTGATACAAAATAGAGAGCCCAGAAATGGATCTACACAAATGTGCCTGATTGATTTTTGACCAAAGTGTGAAGATAATCCAGTAGAGGAAAAATGGTCTTTTCAACACATGATGTTGGAGCACGTGGTATACATAGACAAAAATAAAATTAACTTTGGCCTAAATTTCACACCTTTTACAAAATTAACTCAAAATGTACCATGACTTTCAACATAAAACATGAAACCATAAAACTTTTAGAAAATAAAAAAACACAGAATGGCTTTGAGACCTGAGGGAGACAAAGAGTTCTCAGACTTGACACTAAAAGCATAATCTATAAAGGGAAAATTTTATTAATTGGACCTCAACAGTATTGAAAACATTTTTTCTGCCTTTATAGAAAATGAAAAAGGTAAGAAACGGGGTGGGGGAAAATACTTGCAAACCACATCTTCAACAAAGTTTTTGTAGGAAGAATATATAAATAACTCTCAGTACCCAACAGTAGAAGAAAAATATCACTCCAATTAGTAAGTGGACAAAATACATGGACAGATATTTCATTGAAGGTGATACATGGATGGTAAATACATGAAAAGATACACACCCTCATTAGCCATTAGATGTGTGCCAGTTAGGGGCGCCTGGGTGGCGCAGTCGGTTAAGCGTCCGACTTCAGCCAAGTCACGATCTCGCGGTCCGTGAGTTCGAGCCCCGCGTCGGGCTCTGGGCTGATGGCTCAGAGCCTGGAGCCTGTTTCCGATTCTGTGTCTCCCTCTCTCTCTGCCCCTCGCCCGTTCATGCTCTGTCTCTCTCTGTCCCTAAAATAAATAAACGTTGAAAAAACATTAAAAAAAAATGTGTGCCAGTTAAAACCACAATAGGTTATTACTACACACCTGTCAGAATGATTAAAATTAAAAACAGTGACACCACCATGTGCTGGTTGGGATGAAGAGAAACTAGGTTTTCATACATTGCTTCCAGGAATGCAAAGTGGTACAACTACTCTGGAACTGAGTCTGGCAATTTCTTTTGAAATGAAATATGCAGTTACCGTATGACCCAGTCATTGTATGCTAGGGAATTTATCTTTTAGGAAAATAAAAATTATGTTCATACAAAAACCTGTTCACAAATGTTCATAGCAGCTTTATTTAAATTCACCAAACCCTGGAAACAACCCAGGTGTCCTTCAATGGGTAAAAAGTTAAACAAATTGCAATACATATAGGACTACTACCCAGTAATAAAAAGGCGCTAACTACTGATACACCCAAGAGGGGAATTATACTGAGTGAGAAAAGCCAATTTCAAAAGATTGCACATTGTAAAATGGTTACATAACATTCTAGAATATTCTTGAAATCACAAAATTATAATGCTTGCCGGGGATTAAGAATGGGGGTGACAGAACAGGTGTGACTATAAAGGAGTGGCACTAGCCAGCCTCCTGCTGAGGCAATAGGTTTGTATCTTGATTATGGTGGTGGTTCCATGAACTATGGTTCACTGAACTA